GGGATCTCAAGGTCTTTTAGCTACTATAAAACCCCTGTTTTTCTGTACATAATTGAACCTTGTAGTAAAGTGCCTCTCTGGTACTCGTGTCTTCTCTCTGGTCTTCCAAGTCGCTGAGTAGTGCTAGCCTGGGGTTATCCGAATAGCTAGGATCCGAATAAAACGTTCAACTTACGAGTCATAACAATTGGCGACGGGGATTCTGGAAAAAAATACAGCAGTCGGTAACGTATTTTGGAATTAAATAAGCTGTAATAATTGCCGGCGGGTTTTGGAGTTATTATTAGCAGTAAAAAAAATGACGATTTCTCTGGAACAGTTGCAGATAATATTAGAGCACCAGCATCAGCAGATGTTAAGCTTCCAGCAGAAACTATTTGAAACATTTTTGGACAAATTTTTCACTAAACAAAACGTCTCAGGAAATAAAGAATTTATTTATAATGCAGATAATGATGCGGAAATGGCCGTCTCAGAAGAACGCCAAGTTGAGGGTTCAATTTCCTTTATATCTGACGGAAAATGCAAAATTGGCAAGTTGGCCGGTTCAGAGCAAGACAATATCTTACCTAATGCACATGAAACTGTGACAGTATCAGATGAGCAAGAAAAAGAAGGTTCCGCAGACAACCCCAGGAGTCCAGAATCAAATGAAACACCACTAAGTCCGCCCATATCTGAAGACAAACTTAAGTCAGAACAGAACTACAGTTTGCGTGATGTTGGCCAAGAAAACTGGAAGAACGCATGTCCAGAAAATAACTGGAACAGTACAGTTAGTCAGTCAGTCAGTCAGTCACAACGTAGAACTTCGTACGTACGTACATCAGTTCGAGTTGCCATACCACATTAGCACAGAGATGAAGTTGTCGATTCAAATCCCATAGTGGAAGAAGTAGTAGGAGTATAATCAGAAATCCAAAAGATTAGGGTTTGAAGAAATTATTAAAGGAGTATAGTACAGTGAAATAAATTTGGAAAGAGAAAAAGATAAAGACATGAGGAATTCAGAAGATTAGAATTCGGTAGAACCCAAAGAGTGGATGCACCTTCGCCATTGCAAACGATTTTGAGCCATGTCATTCAACGTCTCTAACCATCGGTTGCTGTCATCTCGCGAATCCCAACCAGGTAGTCTACACCTACCAACATGGCCCAGTCCACTTGTCAGTGACTTCATTGATTTGTGCCACCTTTTGGTCTGGCCTCCCCTAGCTTTCTTCCAACCTACTCCTACACCATGAAACATTGCACGTCGGGGCAGTCGGTGGTCGGGCATACGTAACACATGTCCCAGCCATCTCAACTGATGAAGTTTCACTACTTCATCAATCGATTTGCCATCCCTACCTAGTACTCGTTTCCTAACAACTGCATTACTTACCCGGTGGTCTCAGGATATACGAGCAATGCTTCAAAGACACCTATGATCGAACACTAGTAGCCTACGAATATCCTCTACTCTTACCGGCCATGTTTCCCTGCCATAAAGTAGGACGGAACGAACTGCTGCACAGTAAACACGTCCTTTGGTTAGTAGACGGATATCTCGCCTACGCCATAAATGACGCAAGTTGGCGAAAGCTAGACGAGCCTTCTGTATCCGTGCTGAGATTTCGTCACATACTAGGCCATAAGGGCTGATGAGATTCCCAAGATAAGTGAAGTGGTCTACACGCTCAACTACTTCACTCCCTATCATTAGTTCAGGTGTCGCTGCAACCCAATCCTGAAGTAACATTTTGCACTTCGAGGGAGAGAATCGCATCCCGAACATGCCTGCATAGTTGCTTATAGTGGTCAGAAGACTCTGCATGTTGTCAGCGTCTTCACCGAGTAAAACGATGTCGTTGGCGTATTCTAAGTCAACAAGTGAGCCTCCTGGTAAAAGTTCAACTCCTGGAGGTTTAGCTGATGAAAGTGCTATCTCTAAAAGTATGTCAATGACAAAGTTAAACAAGAATGGGGAGAGTGGACAGCCCTGACGAACTCCACTTGTGGTAATCAGTTCTGATGACAGTTCGTCATAGGCTCTAACTCGACCAGTTGTGTTCGAGTAGAGAGCCTTTATGAGGTTAATGTACTTCTTTGGTACTCCTTTCAGTGACAAACACTGCCATGGAACCTCACGGTCAACGGAGTCAAATGCCGCCTTAAGGTCAAGAAATACTACTATTGTGGGACGTCTGAATTTGTGTCTATGTTCTAGAACCTGACGTAGGGTGAATATCTGGTCTATGCAACCACGTCCAGGTCGAAAACCTACCTGGTTTTCTCTAGTCTGCCCTTCACGAGCTCTGGTTAGGCGACCTAGTATTATTGAAGCTAATATTTTAGACACTATATTAGTCAAACTGATCCCTCTGTGATTGTCACAAGAGGACTTTTGTCCTTTCTTATAGACTGGCACAATCAGTGATTGGGACCAGTCAGATGGAATTACGTCCAGTTCCCAGATTCTACCTAAGACCTCAGTCAATCTCACTGCTAGTACTGAACCACCATCCTTAAAAATCTCAGGGGTCAACCTGTCAGGGCCTGCTGCTCTCCCTCGCTTCAGATTTCCTATAGCTTTTTCAACCTCACAGAGGGTTGGAGGACTTACGTCAATTTGCCATTCAGGACGACTGGGGATCGTGGGTAATTGAAGTGTGGCTGAAGGCCAGTTGAACTGATCCCTAAAGTGTTCTGCCCATCGATCCAATCTCCTGGATTGAGAATGAATGATATACCCGTCTTTGTCTGAGATAGTTTCGCTAATAGTTGGGTTTCTAATGCCGGTTTCTTTAATGAGTGTGAACAGCTGTCTGCTGTTACCTATTGCCGCTGCCTTTTCCATCTCTCTTGCTTTCGCTACCCACCACTGTTCACGATCATTACGTAGGCTTCTTATAAGCCTGCGCTTAAGCTGACTCCGCTCTTTGTTATGTTTATAGCCAGGAGGGATGAGTTTTCCAGCATCTATCAATGCGGTAGATGCTGTCGAGATCCATTGTTTCTCCCTGACCTTATGGCTTACCTTACTAGCAGACATCACAGCTTTTCGGATGTCATTCCACGCTGCTTCGGGGTGGGCACAACTTACATGTCTGTATAACTGTTTTCCCAGTTGTTCCTCAAATATATTCTTAGCTTGCCTATCAGTAAGTAGAACCCTTAGAGGCTTCCCTGCAGTGTCTTTCCTACGTCCAGTAAGACGCAGACAGATACGTGCTCGCACTAGAGCATGATCTGAATCTAAGCATGTGCTCCAGAATGAGCGACAGTCTTCTATCGAGCCCCTCCATCGGTGACTGATAGCGATGTTATCCAATTGGGTCCAACGTTGTGACGAATTCGGGGGTCGCCATGTCAACAGATGTTTTTCCTTATGCTTAAAGTTAGTATTTGCAAGAAATAGGCGGTTATCTGAACATAGATGCAACAGACGGTCGCCATTATCTGTCCTCTGAGCCACGAAACCATAAGATCCATCCAGGTGTATTTCCTTATCGCTTAGTTTACTTACTTGAGCATTAAAGTCACCTGCTACTAATACTACATCAGAACGCCTAGCTTCTCGAAGAAGGTCAGAAAGTTTCCTGTAGAACTCATCTTTTATATCGTCTGAGCTGCAGTCAGTGGGAGAGTAGGCAGAGACGACGAAGAGGCACCGACGAGTTTCCCTATCTTTCCGGGTCCTTACTGATCCGTTTAGTCGGACAGCGCATAGACGACTGTCTACTGGGATCCAGTCTAAAAGAGCTAGTTCTGCCCTAGGACTTAATGCTATACCTACTCCAGCGAGGCTACGGGAAGCAGCATCAGGGCTTCCAGATACACGAAGCGTGTATCGAGATGACACTTTATTTTGATTAGGTGCGGTCAAATGAATGACACTACTCGGATCTTGTATGCGCGTTTCGGAGACGCAGCACACATCGATGGTGTAAGATTCTAGAGTCCTAGCTAAGGAAGCCTGTTGTCCTATTTGGCACAATGTTCGGACATTAAAAGTTCCTACATGTAGTTTAGAGCGTGGTTTCAGGAGACCAGGAATAACGTTCTGTGTACTCGAATCGTTTGCCCTAGCGGTGCGGGGTGATAAAAGGACGTGGGAAGGGTTAGTCGTGGAGATAAGAGTTATTAGGTGTAGGAAGGATTTGAAAGCGACCAACTTGGTCTTGTGTGCAGTTAAGGGTATGAGGGCTAGTATCACTTCCCGGCTGCCCACACCGTGGAAGAACAGTACAGTTAACCAAATTGCGCCAAATGTGATTCGAAATCATGGGGAGACAGAAGCCTATAATATGGGTTCGCGTAATGATGCCCATAATTCTGATGAAATTTCGTATAAAAATGAGAAAACTAAGTCGGTCGAATCAGATGGTGATCAAAAATCTAATGCGAATTTATTAGATGCCGATTCTCCTAGTTATCTAATATCCTCTAGTGGAAATCTTAATGAATTTGATGGAGATATTTCAGAAAAGCTGAATTCCGATAACTTAAAATCAAATATCGTTCATCATCATCTATTCATTTCTAGTAGATTCTGCGTTCAATACGAGAAATATGTCATACTTATTGTATTTTGGAGATATGAAGATCCAACATTATTTCGTGGGGGAGGAAATGTTGGAGAATTTCAACTTACAGATAATTTTTTTAAAAATCAGAATCTAATTTTCGAATCTTCAAAAAAAGGGAGGTGTTAGATCGGCTTACAATAAACTCTATCAGAGCCTCCAGAGAGGCTCATAAAGAGACCAACCAATCAGCGATTAGTTAGAAGCTATGCTACTAAAATGCTACTAAAATAACAAGGTCCTGATTGGCTGTTAACATACTGTTACTATGGGATCTCAAGGTCTTTTAGCTACTATAAAACCCCTGTTTTTCTGTACATAATTGAACCTTGTAGTAAAGTGCCTCTCTGATACTCGTGTCTTCTCTCTGGTCTTCCAAGTCGCTGAGTAGTGCTAGCCTGGGGTTATCCGAATAGCTAGGATCCGAATAAAACGTTCAACTTACGAGTCATAACAGACTGAGACTTATCATGTTAGTTAAAACGCTGAGATTCTTATACCTTACTGTGAAAATTAAATAACCAAGAAATAACCTCTTACTGACTATTTTGTTGTTTTTATTTTGTAGATTTAAACTTCCATTTTCCGCGCCAAAACTCCATATGGCAGCCATCCTTTATTTTTACCGCGTTTAAAGATGTCAATTTTTTATTGGTTTGCGGCTCTTTTAATGAACCAAATTCTACCCCTCTTCTAAGGTTATTTATTTAAACACACAAATATTGGTACAAAGGGCCACCAGATGTATATGCGCCACACAAATCTCATTTGATTTGTGTGAGGACTGTGATACTGCCCGGGTGCCCAAACTGAAGCAGGTAGTTTTCTAAGGGGGCCACACTCGGAGCCTTTAACCTTAAGGTCTGATCCACAAGGCAGTAGAGCATCGTAAGGAGATGCAGTCCCATGGTAGCCGGTAACCAACAATTGGTTCATATGCCATTCGTTCCTTTAGGATACTGGATCCCATGTGCACCATTGGTTTGGAATCAGGGTTTTCCAACTCCCATAGGTGGACTTTCCGTGTCCACCAACCCGGTTAAAGCGCAGGACATTCGCTTTTCGTCCTCTCAATTTCGTAAACAAAAGTATGTTGCTTGCTTAAATCAATCTCCTTTAGTCTCCATAGGTAAATTCCCTTGCAAGATTTGGCTTTTGGGGGTAAATGGTATCAAAAGAGAAAAAAGAGTTGTGGTAACTAGGCCTCAAAAAGAAGCTAAAGTTTATTCCCGTTAGTTCAAGACACCAATTCGAGACATAGTTTTAGTCAAAATGGATCCTTCTAAAGTGAAATCATTGTTATTGAATAAATATATCGTTAAAATTAAAAATAAATTGCTGAAAAAGGAATAAAAACTAAGTATTAATGGTAGTTTCATTTAGTTTATAAGCTTTGCCAATGTTGATAGTTGATTCCTACCTACTATTTTAAAGTACATCATTTCATGTATTGAAACTTTTTTTCGGAAGGTTAGTATGTCACGATTCCGTTCCATAAACTACCTCTCCGATTAAATTATCGATCCTTAGTATCTTAAGGCATTCGATTTGCAGCTACTAAATCCTAGGGTTAAGCCTCACTTGTCTGTTCAGTTTAGTCAACCAGTTAGTATTATTAGCCATCAAACTTGAAGTGTAACTCATGCACAGGAACCTAATGAATGAGTTACTTTATTTACTTATCATTTATTGAAAATATGATTGAACGCCACGTTCTTTGAAAAAAGGAAAGTCACATTATCCTGAAACTCACAATTTAAAAAATAAAAATAAAAAAATAACTTACTTATGGAAAAATCGTTCATGAACAGGAACACTAGTTAGTGGAAGTTGTCGGAATGCCGAACTATCAACAGCCATTGCATATGGACCTGATAACGTACCTTCTTTTCGTTGTAATAACTTTCCAGGTGCAGTTTCTAAAAAGAACAGAATATGAAATAAATAGTTAAATAGAATCACTACTTTTTACTAACGAGAATATGTGTATCAGGGTTAATCAATCACTGATACAAAATTCAAATAAAACCTGAAGCGAGTTTATGACTTAACTACATTCAACTGAATTAGGTAGAGTGGTTCTTGAACCCTCATGTCAATGGCTGAAAGTTGAACGTCTCAGCAACTGGACTGTCGGTCGAACAACAAATATCATAGCGTGTAACTTCTGAGTGACTACCAGTGGAACTTTTAGTGAGTGACAAATTCGAAAAGAGATGTGAATCATCTTTAGATTCTCCAAAACAACTAACAATGAAAACAGTTTGGATAAGTGTAACTTTTTCATAGCTATTTATTTACACTTGTGATTGCACGATACTACAATACACTATAGGTGACTTGGAATTTATTTACCTATTATCATTGTACCTTATTGAAGTGTTGTTGTGTGGTCTACTTATATCCATATAAGTAGTATATGGTGATGGTCAGACATAGAATGTATTTTGGCGGAAGATCGATAAGGAAAGAACAGGAATGAAGCGCAATCGGTACGAAAATTCATGAACAATAATAATCGGAGACTATGAACTGATATTTTCCGAAGGAACAGTCAAGATTGAGACAATTGATTGTTATTTTGCAAATTAACTGTTTACTGTATGGTTATCAGAATTTAGTGTGATAGTCTGTAATCTGTGCTTAGATACATTCGATTGTCCCCAACCGTGTTTTTGTTCACTACAGTGTTACTGCTTGATTATGTCATTAGTAATACCTAATACTATATCAAAACTATAGAAACTCATTGATATGTGATATGACCAGAAAAGTAAGAACTGGAATTTACGCTATCAGGACTCAGTGGCCGAGTGGATAACGCGATGACGTTTGAAGCGAGGGTACTGGGTTCGAGTCCCAGAGTGAACATCAACTATGAGATACAGGTACATCCAGCTGACGAGTCCCAAATAGAACGAAACGCGCGTCAAACTGGATTTCACTGCTAGTCACCATCCATCTCTGCTTACCATGCTTATGAATTAAGGCTACATCGAGGCAATACGCACAGTATGCACATATGCCAATTAGAGACTGACCAGTTGCGGTCCTAACACATCGACGGAAAGATTCAAACAAACAATACTAAATGAATTTACGCTATAACATTTCATTAAGGATAGAATTGATAGCGATAGCAATTCAATGTACAAACATCGAAGAAATAAAAAACATACTCTGAATATGTTCTTCAGTAGTTGACTTAGCTTCTTTTAATTTATTTAACTTTGGTTTTTTATATGCGAATCGATCCAGAAAATGCGTTAATCCAAAATCTGTGAATGGATCTCCAGTGTATTGTATTGGTAAATTATTTAATAATGAATTAGCAAATAAATTAATTGTAGGATGAATATGTTTTGATAGGAGACTAAGTGGCCAAACTAAACATCCAGTAGCCTGTGCAAATTTTGGATCTCGTACAGTTGGATTATAACCATAATTAAATATGTTTGGGGTGTTCCGTTGCTTTTTTAAAGAACGATGATACCATGATGATGTTAATAATTCATTGCTCTTATCGGTTGTGATTGTAGATTTGTCAGATTGGGTTGTTTTATTAGTCATTACACTATTTTGTACAGATTCACCATTAGAATTATCAACATCAGAACAATGTGCATCACTAAAATGCTCATCCTCATCATCATTATCGGACTGTTCGAATTTTGCCAAATTCGTCATTTCATTAACTGGCTAGTTATTTAATGATAGATAATAATAACAATAATAATGAGCTACGGAAATACTACAAAAAAAGGGTTGATTATCCAGGATAAAAAATACGTCAGCGATAGTCAGTTGAAAATGAAAAACATAACACGTTGAGAATGAGACAGCGATTATCGATGATGATTGTCAACTAACCAAAGTCTGAAGTCGTTCAGTCATTCAGTTATAAGAAACGTAAAACCTAGTGAATAGGTGAATTGGTTCAAATGATCACACCATATTAGCACAAAACGATCAAATTACCAAGAAAAATACCACAGTAGTAGAATTAGTAACAGTGTCAGTAGTAATAGCAAACGTTAGATAAGAACAACATGATCCTACAGGAGAGATTAAATTCGCATAGTAGGAGTGGTACAAGGTAATTTTAAAACTTAAGATCTGAGTGAAGATGAAGAATTCTTCTGAGCCAGAGACCGATTATGAACAATGTCACCTAACATCTTCTACCACTGATCGGGTTTGCCGTGAGGATCTGTCTGCATCTATCTACACGGCTCAGTCATCAGACAATAACTTCTTGGACTGATGCCACGTCTTTGTTTGATCTTCCGTAGCTGTCTTACAACAGTAAACATCGCACCCACTAGGTAGGTGGTGGTTATGCAGACATAATATATGTTCCAACCACCTTAGTCGGTGAAGATTCACTTAGCAACCGGTTTGCTATTTTTGGTCAGTACATTCCGTCTAGCCTGAGCACTACACACTCAGTAGCCTCAGCATACACAAGTAATTATTCGAAAACATGTATGATCAAAATACTAATAACCCACGAAATTTGAATTGTCAATCATTAATCCGATCTAGTAGTTCGAATACTTTGTCAAATATAATATGTAAAAGAAAATCACATATTTATCTAATAGAATCTGAGTTTTTCAAAATATAATCAAAGGTAATCTATGATTATCTACATTATATTGTCAATATGCAACATAATTATTAGCATATAAAAACACTACTTGCAAGTATTATAGGTTAACTAAATAAATAATTGCTAATACATTCGCCTAGTTTAACGAATAAATAAATCAGGATGGGGATTTGTGGAGATGGTAGTATTATCATAGTTGAAATCAGGAGTCGATCTAAGCTAGACAACCTTGGGGAACCTGGAGGCACTGGATGGCCGTTTTGTTCCAACATGGGACTCCTCAGAAATGCGCATCCATAATCCTGCATGATGACAGGTTGTGCAGGATAATGGATTGATTGAAGTTAGACATTCACACGGTTAGATGCTGCTGGTTCAGTGGTCTAGAGGTTAGGCATCCGCGCGCGATACCGAAGGTCCTAGGTCCAAGCAAGGCGTGCGGAATCGTGGATATGCACTGCTGAAGAGTTCCACACTAGGACGAAACAGCCGTCCAGTGTTTACAGGTTCTCAATGATGGTCTAGCTTGGACCGGCGACTGATTTCAACTATGATAATAAATAAGTATCGATAGTTAAAGAGAGAAAAAAATAACAGATTGTTCAATGAACATTGGAAAACTGTTAACTTCATATATGATTTAAGAAATGTACAGATCTATTCACTGTTTATCTATCTTCCTCTAGATGTTAATTTTCTAGTATGCACATTCATGCATACTTTTTTTAATTAGTTAGAATCATATTCTTTTGTCACACACAAATTGACGTAACAAATCGTTTTCATAGGTTAGAGTACATACAGAAGTAGGTCTACTCTACTAAAAATCTGAATCCGTTTAGAAATCTGAAAGTCAGGATTGTGTGCAAGGAGTTTAGGTTTATTGGTTAAGATATTAAAATGCTCAAAAAAACCACATTGCACGGCTTTAAATCCATCATGGTAACAAAAACATGTTTATCTGTTCAGTCAGTCTGTTAAATCTTGTTGAACGATTATGTTGATTGAGGTTTCCGGTTGGTCTACGATGCTTGCGAACTTAAAGACGTTTGGGCTTTTCTAATACTAAAGGTTCTACTGTGAATTAAACATCATGAGCTGGGATACAACCTTTTAGTCAGTAACCGCTAATAAATGAAAACAAAGTGTAGGAAGAACCTGATATATCTAACGGAATAAGCAGAACATGAAATAGTACGAAAGAAGGACCATCAAGTATACAGAAAATTAGCAAACAGTTAATGGCGGACAATCAGAAAAGAGCAGGGATCATGAAAAAATTTGAATAAGACAAAAAGTATTACCGGTTACCGTTTCTAGTAAGTCAGTCAGTCAGTTAACCATAGGCGACGTAGAACGTGACCTCATAATAAGACTTTGACGTGAACAAATACTCAGTAATTCTGTGATTTCCTTAAAATGGTTGATCACTATTACCATAGAGCCTGATACAGATGTGCGTTGGCCCAAGTTACTACACCACATTAGCAGAAAGAGGTGGAAATATTATGAATAGTAAAAGAGATCGAAATATTTGGTAACAATCATAGTGTGAAAGACTAATCATTGAGAATATGTTTTAAAAATGCAAAGTGATAAGGTATATGAAGAAATACTGAAACTCGAGAATCAGAGGAAGATAAAGAGTTCATACATCTACAGTCTCCAACTACCAGTGCAGGAGTGGGCTGTAAGAAAGCTAGAGGTGGCCGAACCAAGACATTACATCAATCCAAGAAGCCATTAACATTTGAACTTCATCATGTTAATATATATATGTTCTTTGTATCCCACCATATCCTGAGGTTCCATATCCTTCATGACTTCACTAATTTATATTTTCTTCACGAATCGCATCTTCGATGTCTAATCTTTCGGATTACGACAGATACTGTTACTACCTCTACTATTCTGGGATTTGGCCTGACAACTTCATCTTAGTGTGCTAATGGGGTATGGCAACTTGAACCGATGTACATACGTACCAGGTTTGACGTTATGACTGACTGCTGATGACTAAATAAATGTAGTCACATTTACTTTTGTCTAAAGTGATAAATGAATATTTACATGACTTATTTACCAGATGCAACTTCGTGTACTCAGCTTTGAGCGCTAATGATTCTACACGGCTCCCCAAACCGAAGTAGATGAAGCGGGATTCAAACTAATAGATCCAAGGTCTGAGTCCTGAGTGACGTTCATCAGTAAGAATACTTAGCTAACAAAATTAGAAAGTGAATTGATGCTTGAACCTAGAGTTCAGAGATCGAAAGTTGAATTCTTCGTACCAATGTTTCATTCTTTTACTAACGAAGAGTAATGTGGTTACATTTAGAAATACAACAAAAGATTTCCACATACGCAATTACGTACTTATCAACTCTACCAACACTTTTTTTGAGGTAAATATCATTTTTGGATTTATGCAGTCAGTCAGTCATCTAAAATGTAGGACCAGGCAGATTAATAAGAACATTATCATTATTATTAATGTAAAATCAAAATTACTCACTAACTGTTCTTTATTTATTTGCGAAACCATTATGAGATTTGGTTTGGATAATGACACCTATATACAGAAATAAATAGAACAGAGACAAGATAAGATGGTAGATTAGGTAAACAGTTGATTGTAAAAATGAAAGTATTATAAATGTCATGGTTATTAGTAATACCAATAAAATTATCTATTATTATTCAATCATGTTATACATGAACGTGATTCGTCTTAGTCAGTCAGTCAGTCAGTTAGTCACAACGTAGAACTTCGTACGTACGTACATCAGTCTATCTAACTTGAAATGAATAACCGAGTAAACTATACTTATTTTGCTGAATACTTAAAGGATTTCATACATTTTATTACTTAGTTAGCATTTAGAAAAGTTGTAGTAGGAATCTGTCACTAAAAAATTCAATTCCCCGGTACGGCCGAGTGTGGAGAGAGTCCGCTCTCTCTCTCCAAATGCTCTCACATGACCACACATATATAGCCTCTGCCACACAAGTCCAACTTACTGCCTTCTCGTGGCATTATTGTTGTTTACGAAATTGAGAGGACGAAAAGCGAATGTTTGGCGCTTTAACCGGGTTGGTGGACACGGATTGTTCATCTAGGGTAGTTGGAAAACCCTGATTCCAAACCAATGGTGCACATGGGATCCAGTATCCTGAAGGAATAAATGGCATATTAATCAATTGTTGGTCACCGGCTACCATGGGACTGCATCTCCTCACGATGCTCCACTGCCTTGTGGATCAGACCTTTTGGTCAAAGGCTCCGGGTGTGATCCCCTAAGAAAACCACCTGCTTCGATTTGGGCACCAGGGCAGTATCCCAGCCCTCACACAAATCAAATGAGATTTGTGCGGCGCATATGTATCTGGTGCTTCCTTGTACTAATATTTATGTGTTTAAATAAATAAATAAATACTACCTGTTAATATTCAGTAGCCAGTTCTATTTCTAACAATTTCCGAATGTTGATAAATTGATAAATTGTTATCAAAATTAGACACAGCTATCAGCTGTCATTTGCAATATCGTATGTCATAATTATTCTCTATATTATTGCTGCAGGAAGCCGTCATTCTTTCAGACTTGCAGACACGTTGGGCTCCACAGATACTTCATAAGATTAGGTTTGTAGCTACTTTGCGTCTATTCCTCAATATAGAACTGCATTTTAGACAAATCGTTGTTTTATGAACTTCGGCTTAGGTCGTATCTCAATTATGTGGTTAAGCACTTCGGTAGATTTAACGAGGCCCTTTTCCAATACATACAGACATCTTAATCATCACGGATACTTCAGGAGTCAAGGTTAGTAACTAATGTATATATTTTTTGTCATCATAGAACCTATCTTTGGATAAATCATTGTCTTGAACCTCGATTTCACGCGTGTCTCAGTCGTGGGGTTGGACTCTTCAGTAAATTTGACAGACACAAATAAATAAAAATTAACTATACCTTATTAATTAGAATTAAGCAACCGACAATAAAACCAGGATCTGTATGTGAAATACATAGTTGCAAGATTCTGTGAATAAACGCAACAATTCGATCAGTATCATCATCACCAGCCATACTTTGATAGATTAAGCGTAGTAGAATTGGATTTTTAGAACTTTGATGAATAGCAGGATCTAGTAATTTTCTATATAAGGCCTAAGAAAATATAGAATAAGAATATAGAATATCCAACTACAATACGTATCGTTAAAATGCTAGTAATGACAAAGAAACAACGCAATTTTCGAAATAGGGGTAATATATAGAGGCCAAAGATCAAATCTAATAATTAGGTGTTAAATTCTTTGGCGAGTTGAGTTATTATTGAGTTGTTGTTAAAGAGCAACAAAATAAGTAACCAATGAATAGTGAGAGTTAGATTAGAAAACATTAATCATAAAGTTAAGCTACTGGTTTCATCGGATAATGTATTTACATGAATAGTACAGACAGAAAATTAAAAATTTTCTATCAACAACTGACCTGATAATAACGATCACGTATAGCGACACAATGAGTTGAAATTTGAAAAAGTACGGACAAAGCTTGAACAGACACAGTAAAGCCAGTTGTATGAACAAGCCGAAACAGATCATTCACCTCACTTAACATAGATGTAAATGCCTCCTCTGAAAAAATAACAATTGAATAATAGTTAGAAATGAGGAAATGGATTTAAAAGTAAAACCGCCAGATAAGGGACAAATATGTTATAGTACGAGTTGAAAATTTTGTTGTCATATTTGTCATTATTTGTAACGATTCATCCTCTACTTTTTTTAGTGTTAATACCACTTAATAGTTAAATACCTGTTCATTTACTGAAACTTGAGTCCTAATGTTGTATATACATTAAACATCCTACCTAACTACTCAAAATCAGAATAGCCGAAATGAATTTCAGGCTTGATAGTTGACTTTTTTCAGACTATCGAGTTACCATCACCAGTCAGTCAGCTACAACGCAGGACCAGGCACGCATATGCATCGGTCCAAGTTGCCATACCTCGTTAGCACAACAAGATGAACACCGGATCCATATAAATAGTTAATTTAGTGGTGGTAGTATATAAAAGATAGGTTGTATATAAGGATATAGTATAGAAAGGAAGAACATTATGAAGCAATTTTAATCTTAAGGTTTAAGGGAAGATAAAGAGTGTATACACCTACGCCATTGTGATCGATTCTGAACCATGTCACCTAGAGTCTCCAACCATTGGTTACGATAGTCACGTGGACCCCAACCAGGTAGTCTGCATCTGCCAACATGGCTCAGACTAGAAGTTAGTTACCATCATACAAGAAACAATAATGAAATCTTATCAATGAATTCAAATACTGACAATAGAATTGATAATATATCCTGAAAGTATCTAAATATAGGCAAACAAAAATAAGAAACTTAAATGTCATTAAAATAAGCTGAAAATTTGTTATCCTTTATCCCTGACTATCAAGTCTAACATATAGTATCCAACTACTGGAAGTATTAACAAATAATATAAAACCTTATTTTGTACTTGTTTTGGTATAATACACTAAAAAGTTCTACATTTTGTATTCTAATCAAACAAAATAAACAAAAAGCAGTGATGATAAAGATTGTTCTAATAACTTGTTAGGCACCAGCCCACCAGAGCTAACAAAATTAATGTGACTGAATCAGTTGACGCTCTTAATCACTATACCACCTCTCCTCAGTTGGATAGAGACTTAAATGAGACTTGGAAAAAACTTTTGAAAATGAACGGAAAGGAACCCATACCAAACATTTTTTATGCATCATAATATTTACTAAATGAATCATCTCCTTACTTCAAAAAGATCCATGTTTCAGGGTATGGGCTGGTGATATGAATTGCCTGTGAAAACCTGTAGGACCCATTTCAAATCTGCGGCTAATAGTTGAAAACCAACTGCTTTAGTCGTAAAACAACTTACATTGATGGATTATCGAACATGAATCTACTGTTGTCTGGAAAACTGTGCGCGTGCTTTTGATACGTCACGAGTAAAATAAGCCGATCGAAAAAATAAAGCAGTCCTACGAAAACATGATAACTATTAACAAAATCATGAGCGAAAGATAAATCGTCACCCTATAGCAGCTTTAAAGAATGTCACTCTATACTAAAGAAAGTACTTTCACCATTAAACAAATTTGAAAACTAATATTCCTACTTTTCTGATGATAGTACGAATTGCCAACTTGATAATCTTGACAGAATTTAATGTGGATTTTCGCAATATTTATTAGAAATTTTGTAATACGAAAAGTTTAAACTAACGATCAATACAGCTAAACTCAGTTATCATGTTACACTTCCGTCAAACGAAATATTTGCTCCCTTGAGAACCATTTAAAAACTATGAACAGCAAAACATCGACTCCTGGTTGAACAAAATGCAACTACAGTGACTGACAGACGGGGCTAAGTGGTTAAAGAACATCGTTTCCAGTCACCGAGTTCTAAGTCAGAACCCCGCGCCGCCTATTTTGGTTTAGTCACCAGAGTGGTGTTATCAGCTTTAAAAAAAACTAAAGTATGGCTTGAAGCATTGTACGTAAAAACAACTTCGGCTTAGACACCCGGACAGTTCCAGCCCTCATACAAATCGAATCACTTCCGTAGTGCACATATATTTGGTGCCTCCTCGTACATACGTGTGTGTGTTTAAATAGATAAATAAATAAACAGCGAAAAATAATTACAGTAATCGCAAGAATGGCACTTACCAGAAATAAAAGGAGCTACTCGACATAAACCGCTAAGCAATATAGTGGTAAATCGTTCAGGGATTTCCTTGGAATTGGCTAAGGAGCGGAAAAACGACATGTATATCTTGATCAATGTTGACGCCACAGATGATATATTTGCATCAGTACCGCTCCCACGAGATGAACTCTTCAGCTCCAAACAACTTAAAAGTGAAATAGCGTAGTATTTTGATCTTTCCAACAAATTGGGACGGAACAAGAAAGATCGAACTTCCTGGACAATTAAATGCAGAAAACTACTGGAAATTCCAGCTACAACCAAGTTATTATGAGTACGGACTTACCAATCAGACGTAACTTATGTATCACTGCAGATGCAAACTCCTTACTACGATCACCGAGTTTATTAATTATAATGTTTAATATTAACTACAGAAATATAAAAAGACAGCTCCTTACCGTTTGATTTTCTTGTTTTTGAACAAGGCTACCAAGAATCCCTAATGACAACGTTATGAACCTCTTAAAAACTAACTACCTAACGCTTTGCGCTTGAAATTATCTACACAGTCACTTAACAAAAGTTTCTGCAAATTTTACAACTCAGAAATAGCTAACCTCTGAGGCTTTGATAAACCGTAAGTACACTGCCTTTAGCTCATCTTCAAAATGCCACAAACAAAGGACATTTTCTTTCGAAGAGGTATCTAGCTTTTCCAACACGTTTAAAGGTCGATTTGTTACAGTAATCAAGGCACGATTTTTCGGGATTAAGCTACAAAAAAGGTGGCTCAGTATGTCTGCATACTAATCAAGGAATAATACGACAGCTTACCCAAAGATTTGAAGCAATCTCGCTTTTTCGACGGCGAGACAAGCGATATTAAGTTATCGAGAAATCGAATGGCGTACAATGGATAAGAGTTCACTAAATAGGCCATCGCACACACGTAGTCTTGCCCAGACTTTGATTTAAGTGCCATAGATAACCATTCTCGCGTGGTCCGATTCAATGAACCCAATTCACTTGGAAGTCCATTCTTCCATAGCTTCAATCCATAATTCCGCTCAAAAGCAGAACTAGATTCACCCTTCAGCTTAAGTACGTCTTCTGTCGATAAAGATGGTCCCGAACACTCGGTCAGCTACGACATAGATAAAATGATCGACCTACCTTGTTAGTAAACCAACTAGACATGTTACTAGAAGAATAATTTGAAAACATTCAAGGTCAGAAGCGAAAACAGCCTTCAACCATAAATGGTTTCAAATGATTCTCGAGAGAGTATAAAAACATTTCGCTTAACGGTCTTCCGTATCTAGTAACACTGGGTCGTCGATGCCGACAGAGTGGAACCCAGATATACTTAACGATAAAAGAGAAAAAAACATTAGTAAACTATAACGAGATACTGTCCTTAGTCCCCAAGAATATGTCAAGTTTTCTCTCATACGACTCCTGGGAAGTCCCTTGTACTAGCTCAGCCGGCAGAGAATTCCAGCATTTGACTACTCTTAAGGAGTAGAGAGTGTACCCACGGTCCGTTCTGCTATATTTTGTCACCAGTTTCTGACCTGACCTTAGAAAGTCAATTATTTAGATATTAAGTAAGCCAATCAATTAGCAGTGGCTTGATACCTATTCGTTTGAGCATATTGATAGGACATCTATGGTTAACCCTACCAAAAGCTTTCGAGAAGTCAAGATATATGATGTGAACGTTCCCTTCGCGATCAAGAATGGCTGTCCATCTGTTCACCGCAGTTAGCAGGTTGGTTATACAAGAATGACTCTTCTTGAAACCGTGCTGTTGGGGTGAAAAGCAGTTTGTGGATATTAAGTAGTTGCATATATAGTCATATATCAGGGACTCCATAATTTCTGAGGATAATGAGAGAATTTCTACCGATAGGTAGCCTGAAGGTTCTCTGCGTCGACCTCCTTTGAAGGTTGGTGTCCTTGTTCATGCCCTGCAGCTTCTGATACACCAAGTCAGCACCCGGGTTCACTTGAGAGTTAGTATGAGGCGGTTGAAATGTCTGAAAGTACTGTTCTGCCAGAAGATCAGCGGCGTCACCGTCATTGTTAGTTAGTCCATTATAACCTAGCAGTTGAGAAACTAAGGTTTTGGCTTGTCGAAGAGAGACTGCATGACAGAATCAGCTTTTCGGCGTCTCTAGAGAGTTGATAACTCCACATTTTCGAATAATCCCAGATCTCCAATGAGATTGAAGAATCGAGCTTCAGTACAGTTGTCACCTCCGATGTACGTGTGTCCAGAGAAGTTGACTACAGGAAGATTGAAATCTCCTAAAATCAGGATATTAGTGTATCTGAGACGAATAGAGCGGAATAATCCTTCGAGCAAATGATTGCCAAACTCGGTGTCAGCAGTGGGCTTCTCGTAGATGACTCCAACTAGACACCTCAAGGTGTTAGACAATTTTACTGGGCACCATACAGATTCATCGAGATTGATAAACTCATGAGTGTACACTTGATGTGCTACCAAACAAGATCGTAGGTACAGGACTACTCCTCCCCCTCTCCGTAATTTCAGAAGTCCGTGTTTCAGATGACTTTTCGTGATCTACTCAGTGGAGAGAGAACTACTATGGAGAACAGCTGGAAAGGGATCGATGAGGTAATCACTTCAACATGTCATGAGGTTCTGGGCCACAAGAAGCACCATCACAAGAAATGTATCACTGTTGGTACACTGTATAATATTCAAGAAAGGAGTAACATGAAGGCAGCAATCAATACCAGCCGAACAAGAGCAGAGAAAGCCAAGGCACAAGCCGAATATACAGATGAGGAGCATCAGAACCGAAAAACGTAAATAAATGGAATTCCTTTTCGTAAAGTTGTCAAGAGAATTATAACAGCAGCTTTAGTGTTCAGTCTTCCGGAACTTTTTTACCCCTGTTTATGTCAATTTATGTGAATCTCCTTTGCTTTTCATGTACATTTAGTGGCTTTTATAGACGTGATAAAATGTCTCGCCTTTTCTTCGTTGTGTGACACGTTTCCTTTTGACCTGAAAAAGAATACCTGCGCTTTACTACTCAGACCCTTCGATCGAAGAGCTTGATATTGATGTGCACTTTTCAGACCATTATGCATTATGTAAGGCTATTGAGTTGAATTACCTCTCAGCTCGCCACTGAGGTTGCTCTTCTCTGCATGTCACCAACGTCGGATACACTAAAAATATCTAATAGTTATATGAACACTGTTATTATTATAGTTGAAAGCATGAGTCAATTGAAGACAGACCACCATGGAAAACCTGGAAACACTAAACGGCCGTTTCGTCCTATTATGGGACTCCTCAGCAGTGTGCATCCACGAACCCGCTCTCGCGAGATTCGAACCCAGGACCTACTAGTCTCGAGCCGAAGCCCTTAACCGATAGACCACTGAGCTGGCATCCAACGGTGTTAATGTCTAACTTCAAGTGATCAGTGGTCTATCGGTTAAGGGCTTCGGCTCGAGACTAGTAGGTCCTGGGTTCGAATCTCGCGAGAGCGGGCTCGTGGATGCACACTGCTGAGGAGTCCCATAATAGGACGAAACGGCAGTTTAGTGTTTCCAGGTTTTCCATGGTGGTCTATCTTCACTTGACTCATGCTTTCAACTATAATAAATACTAAATCTCCACAAAACTTCTTCTACAACTATTATTATTATTATTCGCTGTTGTTGGTAAAAACTTTCGGGTGACATTTATTAGGCAATGTCTGTTATTCGTTTTGTCTTTCAGTATATGTAATTCGGTTCCGACCGTTTTGTTCAGTCTTTTCCACTTGTCTACTGCCATTCAGTTTGCTCATTATTGTTCATTTCACATTGTCATATTATCATCCGGGTCAAAACAAGCCTACAGTTTATTTCCCACACCAGCCATTCAGTTTTCGCGTCCGTAGTTAAAATCGTTTTTCAGAATAAGGTTGACATAACAGCATTTACAAGCTTTGGTGCTTTGAATGAAATTGTATTTCACAACTCGCGTACTTAGAATTATTGTAACATGTTTGTTTAAGATTTTTGAAAGTTTTACCGAAACAAACCTGATGTGTGAACGAGGATGATAATGATTGGTTATCTGTTTAGTCAGATATGTAAGTAGTCTGACAGGTGTTAGGTGAGTTATGTATTCCCATTTCCTTATTATTTATTATTATTGATTGCCCATTTGTTGTTGAATTGTGTCGGGTTTTTGTGTAGAAATATATTTACGTTCTAGTCAGGCTAGTTACGTGTTCTTGATTTGAGTTGTGTAGAGTAGACACTGGGAGGGAATCTGATGTAGATATTCGTCCAAAGTAAATTAACGTTCCATTCTCGTGTAAAAAGAAAAAGAACCCTTGTAACAGAACCTTATAGTGCTTTTTTGAAATTCTTCAATAATTGCGATTGCTAAAAATCAGTAATGTAAGCGGATACCCCTCTTCTCAGATTGTTATTTGACATGCTAACTGTCGATAAAATGTAAACAAAGTATAAGTAAATCTAAGGCCTATTGCCTTCAAACATTAATGGAAACCAGTATCTCATAAGTCATCTTAAATCACAAACCCAACGAAGCACACAGTGATCAACAGTCTGTCAAGATTTATCCCTCTGATCCTACATCCTCTGTCGACTTTAGAAGTATGATATATATGTTATATTGGTTTGCTGACGGTGTGCTTCACAAGTAGAGTTGTTAAATGAGCGAAATCAATAAAAATAGAAGATAGTACAATCGTGCAGATGTCCCGGAGCATTAATGATGAGGTTTATGTTTAAGTATTACACTGAGTACGGTTTTCAAAGTATTTTTTGCAGTGACATCCTGTCCACGTTGTGCGCTAGATTCAAACTCAACATGTTTTTGCCAGGGCTCTGGTCGTGCTAATTATCTATGCAACACAACTTTTTGATTTGATAGCTGTCTTAAATATATAGCGCCTGGTGTTTGCTGTGACCTTGAGACAACAAGCACGTCAAATTTGTTCCGGGCGTCAGAAACCCCATAGCTGTGCGCTGAGAGCGTGCTGCTGAAAAAAGAGAAACAAAGAAGCATCAAGGCACTTCGATACAGACACTGAAGAATACTTAACAATTCGTAGTGGAACAGACAGAGGTATGATAAGTTAGCAGGTCAAACTCATACTAGCTCCTTCAGCTACGGTGAAATGTGGTTGGAGCCTCCAGATAAGAGGATGTAGTAGTAAACAACAATGAGTTGTGATATTTAATAAGGTGGAGTGGGTCTAAATGATTGAAGGGAATTAGAAGTTATAATAAAGAAATCTGTTTATTAGTACGGTAAGTACATCAAAAGAGTAAAGTGTTAAGAGACACTAATATCTATATCCTTTGTTGTATTTTTGTAGTATTTTTTTCATCTAATGCCAGCCAAAAGACTCTGGTGTAAAAGTCCGAGTTGTCTTAATGGAATAGCTAATCGAACGAAAAATTGGAAACATGAGTCTTAATAGTGAGCATAGGAGAACAGCCTCAGTATCACTAACTGATTGCCTCTTTCTAAATCATAAAGAGCCTGATACAAACAAAAGGATCTGCGCCACAAACATGGGTGGATTAAAGTCATCGCCCTCACCATCAATGCTTGCTGGTCACTAACTTCAACCTCCCTCATTTTGTGGTCTCAGGCTCACCTAAGATTTTTCAGATTAATATTATACCTCACATGATGCTCTGTGTTTCACATACTGTTGAAAAACACTATTTCCATAAGCACCATTTCACAAGCTTATCAGGCAGTTACAAATTATAGACTATGGGTAAGACATCGATGCAGTGTTTTAATTGGTTATAATATTAACTATAGTTTGCTAATCAAAGCATAGGCATTAAGAAATATATAATGCAGGATAGATGTTTGCTGAAGTAGGTGGCAAAGTGTGGGGATGCAATTGTTATAGACAGTACAATAGGTGGTGAAATAGAATTAATTGTAAGTCAACATAATGTACGTGAGTGTTGAAAGTTGATGAAATATAGATGAGAACGAACTCAAATTACCTTGGTACTGATGGAACTTTGTGCTCTCGTAACCTGTTGATAGGTTACAAGCATCACAGATCTAAGACCCCTGATCGTAGGCGAAAATTGTAAAGTTCCCTTGACAACTCATTAGGGTAGTAGTGAGCATCCTTTAGCGACCAACTATAGTTCCGCAGTATCGATAGATCCAATGAGTTATCTGTTTACTTCAAGTAAAAAC